AGAGATCCTCATGGAGATGAGCTCACAGCCTTGGCTTCTAATCCCAGTTGTATGGTCTTGGGCCAGACACTCCCAGAGCCTCAGTTTCCCTATTTATCAAGTGGCAGGATGCCTCCCGGGGGGAGGCATGTGCAGAGCTCCGCACTGGCCTGGCTCACTCCTACCCTGGCTGCGTGCAGCCCACCACAGTGCCTTGCTGAGACCCTGGGGGAGTGCGGATTGAGACCCAGGGTGGACCCCATCTGGCACTGTGGCTGGGTCTGATGCTGGTTGAGGTGGGGGTAGATTCCATTGTGTGAGAATTCTGGCTCCATGTCACATAACTGGCATGAGAGTGGAGCTGTTTCTTCCGGCGCCCGCTCAGTGAGGCGAAGACTGCAAAATGGTTTTTATTTAAACACCCCCAGTTTTGCATTGCTCAGAAACTTCCTGAAAAAGTCTCCTTTTTTGGTTGAAATGCCTCCTGTACTGGGTGTGTGCCTAAGCGGCATTGTCTGAAGGGGGGTGGAAACCACCCTGTGGTGGCTGGTGTTCCAGAGGCTTCCATCCCTACTCTCAACTATGTATTGATCGCCACTGAGTTTTCAGCATACGCCCCCTGTTTCAGTTTAAGGTTTCTCCTCCATTGTGGGGGGTAGAGACACCAGACATTTTTTTTCTCCCATTCAAATTTCCTTTATTATTTCTTATAGCATAACTGTGTACATTAATGCAATCATGGGGTACAGGGTGCTGTTTTCATATACATTTTGAAATACTCTCATCAAATGGGTTAACATAGCCTTCATGTCATTTTCTTAGTTGCTGAGTTAAGACATTCATACTCTGCTTTTAGAAAGATTCACTTGTACCCTTGTAAGATAAACCATAGAGGTGACCCCAGCAATCACCTTCCCTCCCCCCAGACACCAGACATTCTTGTCCATCTTCACCTTTTCTAGGAGGAAAGGGGTGAGGAGTGAAGAGTGACGCCCGATCAGGCGACCAGGCCAGCTCACGAGGGGCCCCGGCAAGTTCCCGCCCCGCTGCCTTCCCCATCCCAAGTTGTCTCATGTGTTTGCAAGTTTTTCCTCAAGGGGGGAAAATAACTGAACATAAACTCCCAGTCATCCCTCTAAGTCAGGGCCTCTCAACCTCAGGAATACTGAGATTTTGGACCAGATAATTCTTCGCAGTGGGAACTGTCTTCGGAGCTGAAGAGCTCCCAGCAGTATCCCGGCTCTACCACCAGATCTTGGATGCATCTCTCTCCTCAGTCCTGAAAACCAGAATTGTCTCCAGACATTGTCAGATGTCTTCAGTAGCTAAAACTGCCCTTGGTGAAAATCACTGGTTCAAGGTCATCACAGGTTCAAGGTCGTCTTTCTTAGGCACACCCCCCCCCCCAGCCCCCTACATGCACAATCACTTACCAGTCTCAGAACAATTTAACCTTAAATCACATCAGTTGGTTACTTAAGAGTCAGTAAACCCTGCTAACCTGGGAGCTGTTTAAAAGCAGGGGGTTAGACCCGACATGGTAACTTCTCACCTATAATTCTAGTGCTCTGAGGGGCTGAGGCAGGATTGCTTGAAGCCAAGAGTTTGAGACCAGCCTGAGCAACACAGCAAGATGGACCATATACCACCTCCTGCCTCCGGCCTGCTATGTCTACATATTTTTAAAAAGTTAGCTGGGTATGGGTATGGTGGTGTACACCTGTAGTCCCAGCTACTGGGGAGGCTGAGCCAGGAGGATTGCTTGAGCCTAGGAGCTTGAGGGTGGTGTACACCTGTAGTCCCAGCTACTGGGGAGGCTGAACCAGGAGGATTGCTTGAGCCTAGGAGCTTGAGGTTACAATGATCATTCCACTATACTTCAGCCTAGGTGACAATGTCTCTTTTTTAAAAAGCAGAGATTTATTACATTGAGTATAAATTAAAAAATAAAAAGCAGGTTGGCTTGGCGCCTGTAGCTCAAGCGGCTAAGGAGCCAGCCACATACACTAGAGCTGGCGGGTGCAAATCCAGCCTGGGCCTGCCAAACAACAATGACAACTATATCCAAAATATAGCCAGGCATTGTGGCGGGTGCCTGTAGTCCCAGTTACTTGGGAGGCTGAGGCAAGAAAATTGCGTAAGCTCAATAGTTGGAGTTTGCTGTGAGCTGTGATGCCACGGTACTCTACCCATGGCGACAGCTTGAGGCTCTGTCTCATAAATAAATAATAAAAAGCAGGGATTGAATGGTATCCATTGCTGGGCCTGCTGGGCCTGGCATATTATAGAAACTCAGTGACAGTTAAGTGAAGAAATGCCCGACATCATGCATTGGATATAAAAAGGGAATGTGTAACCAGGGAACCAAAAATACAAGGTATGGACTAAAATTCAAAAGATTGACGATGTGCTGTGTTGGCCAAACTGTGAGCAAAACTGGCCTCCCATACACCGCTGGTGGGGATGCAAATAGCACAAGCCTGTGGGGAATTTGGCCACATCTAGCATTTACTCATTGGCCCATAAATTCCACTTCTAGGACTCTGTCCCAGACATGCCCTGGCAAAAAATTAAAAATCATGTTTGCACGAGGTTATTCGTTGGAAACACACCAAGGTCCTATCTATTAGCAAGGCTCTAGCTGAATCAATGCAGCAGTCACAGAGGGAGCGCTATTCAGCTGGGCAAAGACTCGCACGGTTCCCGTGCACTGCGTGGAGGGACTCCCTGGGTGTACTGGTTAGGGGGGAAAGCCGGCCAGCATGTGCTGTGCTTTCTTTAGATAGAAGGGGGAGAAAATATCGCCCACGTTTCCTTATATTTCCAAAGTGCAAAGCTGGAGAGATACAGAAAAAACTAACTTTAAAAATGATTCCTACAGGTGGAGGGAAGGGGACAAGGGGGAAAATACGTTTGGGGAAAACAGTCCCCGTAAAGAGGGCTGTGTTTGTTGTACTGAGATGGAACGGGATTGGGGAACATTATTAAATAAACACAGGCAAGCTGGAGCACCAGTGTGTGCAGTGTGACCTTGTCCTTGTAAATGTTTTCAATTTCTATTTGTAATCTTATAATCCATGGGGGAAGAAGAGGGTGAGAAGGGTACTTGTTTTCCTTTATACCCTTCTGTGTTGTTTGAATCAGTTACTGTGTCAGACAGTGATACTACTTTGTTATTAAAATGTGCGTGTTTAATGAAAAATCATAACCCCAAGGAAGTACTGAACTGGGCAGCATTGGTTCTAAGTGCCAGGTGGGCATGTGGGGAAAGGGGGTTCCATAGGGACACAGGTGATCAGGGAGGGCAACAAGCTGGGCCCTGAGGGATGAGGGTAGGTTGTTTTGCCCCTGGATAACTTTTAAATGTGGATGTAGCCCATCAATCCATGAGTGAATCAATAAACTGTGATATATGTGTGCCATGGAATTCTGTTCAGCCATAAAAAGATGGAGACTTTACATCTTTTGTATTTACCTGGAATTGAAGAACATTCTCCTTAGTAAAGTATCATAAGACTGGAAAAGCAAGTATCTGGTGCACTCAATACTAGTATAAAACCAGTAGATGAACAAATACACACCCACAGGGGAGAAAAACACAATTCAAATTAAGTGGGAGGGAAGGAAAGGGGAGAGGGGAGGAGGGAGGGAGATTCGTAAACTCTCACCTAATGGGCACAATGTAAGGGTATACAGCACGCCCCCTGGGTGAAGGGCTGAACTACAACTTGAAGCTTACCTAACAAATGAAAACGATGTAACCTAATCATTTATACCCTCACGTTAACCTGAAATTTAAAAGAAAATGGAAATAGTACCTGGACATTCCCCCTCCCTCTCCGCTGCTCCCAGGTCCCGTCAGCTGCCCTGTTGGGATGTTTCTGGGGTACCTGCCCTTCCTCTCCTGGGTCTGACTGGAGAACTCCTGTACATCCTTCAAACCCAGGGCAAGCACCACCTCTCCAGAGGGACTCCCCCATCTGTCTCCTTGTTGACCACCAGAGCTGAACATCCTTGGAGCCCTGGCCACCCTCGTTCAGGGCCTGCCTTCTCTGCTGACATTCATTTGACCCCTAGCCAGCACATCCCTGGCTTCATGGGTGCCCAGGGTACTGGAAGAAGCTCCTTTGCAGTGTGGGGCCCTCTGGAAGGCTGCTCTCAACAGCCGCCTGGCTTGGTCTGGTGAATAGGATGAAGATGCTGGTGCCAGACTGAGGGGCTCAGTGACCTCCTCCATCAGTGACTTCACTGGCACTTTGAACTTGGGCCTGAGACCTTGGTCTCTCTGAATCTTCCTTTCCCCTGTATAAATTAGGAGTGAGTGATGAGAACCACAGGACCCATATTTAGGGTCCCTATGAGCATCCTATGATCTGTGGATCGTCAGACCTTGACTCCTACTGTTCTTTATTATATAATAGTTCAAGTTAACAGTACTTTTTTTTTTTT